GAAACAATTGTCACAGACTGTGGGCCATCTTTTATTTCAAGAGAGGTAAAAGAGTTCGCAAGAAAGTTCAAGATAAAAATGATTCGGTATAGTCCTTATTACCCCCAGTCAAATGGTCAAGCAGAAACCAGCAATAAAATCTTGGTAAACATTATCAAAAGAATGGTGGCAGATAGTCCAGAAAAGTGGCACGAGAAGTTAGGAGATAATTTGTGGGCCTATAGAATTCCAAAAGGGTAGGAACTGGGATTACACTTTACACTCTAACCTTCGAGCAGGATGCCATGATTCCCATGGAGATTAATGTGAGTTTAGTCAGAATTCAGAACCAGTTTAGGCTACACAGTGAAGAATACATTGAGGCTATGTGTCAAGGAATTGAAGATTTAGATGCAGCCCAAATTGAAGCCTTAGACAAGATTCAAGAAGGAAAGAGAGCTGTTACCCGAGCGTACAACAAAAGGGTAAAATTGAAGACTTCCGAGGAGAGAGACTTAGTATGGAAGGCAATCTTGCCCTTGGGAGCCCAAGTAAGGAGCTTTAGGAAATGGAGTCCGACTTGGGAAAGCCCTTTCATTATTCATCAAGCCTTGGATATAGAAGGATATTACTTGGCCGATTTAGAAGGAAATTCACAGAAACATCTAGTTAATGCTAAATTTCTGAAGAATCATCCAACTTTATGGGATATTAGGGATTGTTACGTCGAAGAGGGTTAAGTGGTTTGAAAGATCTAAAGACAATTAGCATCTTCATCACAGTTGAGTTAGAAAATGAAAAAGCAAGTAAAATAAAGTAAAGAGAATATTTTCATTTCATTAAATGATGAAGTTACATGAAGATTCTACTCAACTCCTCTAAAGCAACTATCCTAGGATGATATGACAGCATAAGAATGAAGATCCTACTCAACTCCTCTAAAGCAATAAAATCCCTTTGTATCCACGCTTGGAGGACCATGAAGTTATTTTGGCACACTAAAGTCTCTTTGTGGAATGGAAAAATTAAGGGCAGAGACTGAGGTTGAGACCCATTACCAATCTCATGGTTGAACCCTTCATTCGAATTAATGAGAAGCTGATGGATACTTTGACGCTTGAGGAGAAGAAGGCTCAGACTGATGATAGTCCTTCTGAAACTTTAGGATTGATCCCAAAGCATACACCTATGATGATGAAGTGATCAAGAATACAGAAGCCAAGATTTGCCTTAAGCGTGTTGCTTTTTGTAGCTATTGAACCTTGAGGTCCCAAGGAAAGCACTCCGCTTTTATTGAAGAAAAGCTTATTATGCAGGCTAGCCCGAAGGCGATGAGGACTATAAAGCAAGCGGCGCATAGTGGAAATCTCCTCACTAATCTCATAAGAGGGCTAAATTCAAATTTTAGGTGATATCAAGAACTGAGAAAGCCAGGGAGGATTTTCTGGAAATTGTGAAAGTTCTAAGAATTTTAAGAAGTTCAGAATATATTGAAAGCTCGAAGTTACTAGAGTGCTTAACCAAGTAGTCAATGAGGGAATTTATAGTGAACAGTCAACTTAAAGATTGAATTCGTGGGTTAGCACAAGGGTCTAAAGTACAACAGTTGTTTTAATTAATGCAAGTCCCGAGGGAAAACGTGCGAGTGAGAATGTTGTTCAATTATCATTAGTGCCTCGAGTTGCAGGCTAAAAAACGATTGAAGGGGGCACTATTTGGGTTAATATTTAAACTTTAGGCTGCAAAGGGAAGGAAGCCCAAATGAGCTTAATAAAGAAGGTCTGCTCGAAGCCTAAAGTCAAGCCCAGGTCATCCATCTCAAGACAAAATGACGGCCCCCTTCAAATGCAAAGATTAGATGCTTACAAGAGAAGTGATAACCGATAAAAATCCACCTACTTCTGGCCCAAAAGTACTTTTGGATGGCAGAACATGTAAAAATGTTGATGATTCATTACCCTTCAGTTACTTTTGGGCAAGAACAAAAACAGCATAGTAGGGTTAATTTGTCTATAAAAGGAGAAAGAAGGCCCAGAGACAAGGACACTCAACCAATCAAACAAACAAACATACAACTTGTCTCTTAGTCAAGCAAATACTCAAAAAGTTGCGCTTTGCGAGATTCTACACCCTTTCAGCCTTAGATTTCCTATAGAAAGACATCTTTTGTTTATGTAAAAACTCTGTTACCTTCCCAAAATGTTGTAGCGTTGATTCTCTTGTGTAAACTCATTTACCCTTCATCCCTCTTTATTACTCAACCCTTTGTAATTGCAAAGAAAAGAGATTGCAAGACGCTTTAACCTTGCCCGACAAGGTGCAATCTTGCCCGACTCTCTTCATTTTTGCCTTTCCATTAATAGATCTGGTGTTATAATGTATCCCTCAGTATATATGCAAGTCATTTTTGATCTCCTGATGATCCAAAGTTCTATTAACTCTCATATCCGGTTCGCTTAGCACTTTTACTATCGTAAAAGTAAATGAAACTTATTCCTTGATCAGATCTGAACCCTTCCCCTTTAAAAGCATACAAGATAAACAAAAGTTCTTGATCTCAAGGCATAGAAAAGAACTTAATGTAGACTTAACCCATCCATGACAATCCTTTGATGACGAGAAGTCAGAATAACTTGGGGCGCAAGTAATCGGCTTAAATACACTCATTCTACATTTGCCATACAGAGATGGCAGTGGCATACCTCAACACTTAGTTAGTTTTGATTGCGAGCCTCACGGCCTACATCTAAGGCACGACAAAGGTACCTTTCAGAACAAACTATGTCCTCTTCTTGCAATTCGACAAGTGAGCGAGAGCCCGACAGTCAACCAATGTGTCAACTCCTTCGCGAGTTATGTGCTTGAGCCAGGGACCCTTCCCAGCGAAATTCCTATCCGAACACCAACACCGACAATGATACCATATTAACTATTGAAGATAAAGCTTGAGAATCAAAGAATCGAAGAATTGGAATGGAAGAAGAAAGAGAAACCGTATTTCTTACAACTGAATTTATTACAAGATGAATGTAATGAACACTATACAATTCCTTATATAGCTAAATATCACAATTTCAGTAATACCTTTCTAACTACCACAGCTATATTAACAAACTTATTCATTAGGATAATGCCATGTGTAATTTTTGTTATATCAGTTATTACTACCCACCTATTAAACGGGTGGTCAAGTTTATTCATAGGTTTGATAAGAGAAGGACTACAAAGAAAGGGAAAATACGGACTTAGATTTTCAACAAGTATTTCTAGTAGGTGTTTCTTTATGTTTAGTGTCAGAACTCAGCATGAATGTATGTTGTTATTTGATTTTTGGGATAGTTTTGGATGTCCATATTTTTGGGGTGTTGAGTGTGTGTTTGAAATCTGAATTTTTCTCAGTAGCTTTTTGAGCAATTTTTTGTGTGATATTTTATGGCCCATTTTTGCTCACTTCGTCAATGAATTCTATGCTAATTCTAGACCCAAAGAATTAAAAGAGAAACTTTTTACTAGTTTTCAAAGCTGCATTTGGAAATTATTTCAATCTTAAACTGTTATGAACAATGCCTCGAATAAATTACATGCACAAGATGTGCAATTAATTGAATCTTATCAAGCCTCCAGACTGTTGTTATAGAGTCATATGCTGAAGATGTTTCGTTCTTGCTCGAAGATGACAAGTTCTTAAAAGAAAAATCTTCTTCCACCAAAGAAGCCTGGTTTTTTGGTTTCCAACAACGGGTACCCGTCGCCTAACAGTTGAAGTCAGAGTATTATTTTTCCAACAATAACATCAGAAACACAGATGACATGGTTGGTCTGTCCTCAGAAGGTTGTTGCACACATAAAACACTAACATGTATGCAAATGTAGGTTGTCTGATAGAGTGAGCGAGTCCCTTAATCATTCGTTAATCAACTTTAAAGACTTCCTTGCTTTCCACAGTCTTCATGCCTAAGGTGTTAGTATATCGATTATTAGTGTATGATTTCAATGGAATGAATATATGAGTTCTGGAAAATTGGAAAACAAGAAATCAGAAAAATGGAGAATGTAACAGAGCTCAAAATCTTCATTGGATTCTTACTCTCACACCAAATGTGTGAAAATAATATATTACCATTAGAAGAGGTGCCAGCTCACTCCCTCACTCTATCACATCATTACACAATCATCCTAGCCGTTCATTCTTAAGTCATCTTATGAGAAGCTTACATTTGTCATAAGCCATGACTCAATAAAATCTAACTAAGAGACCACATGGGATATGACCCAATGGCTCACATTAAATCCTACAACTTCAATTAAAAGCACTCACTCGCAGCCAATCCCTCCCTACCAGTCAGCTGACTCGCGCAGGCCCACATGGGTTTGTCTTCTTGTGGGCTGATTGCTGCAGCTGGTCTCACTTGCATCCTTATCTTATTTTTCCCACCCCAAAATAGATCCCTTAGAGAGGTTTTGGGCCTAAATTTTGGATTTTTTTGGTTTCCCACCCCTCCCTTGGAGATACCATAAGAGTTTCCTCCTGCGCATGGATTACATGCGCAACCCCCGGTTGTTCTGCGTTCACCCGCAGAGTATGCATCTATTGTTTTGTTGCTATTGCATGGGGTCCGCGTGACCTTTTTTCATGTGATGAAACAGAGTTGAGTGGGGCCTCGACTTACTTGAAGCCTTATCTATCTGGGGAGATAGAAAACCCAAATACCCACCCCAAACCAAAATCCAATTTTTTATTTTTACCCCAAATATCTTTGGAGATGATTTGGACCAAACGTTTGATTTTTTTCCCCCACCTCCCATTGGAAACAGCCTTAGATCGGGAAAAAAAAACAAAAAATACTAAGGATTGCTAGCAAGACTCTCCCCTAAGGCAAGTCTAACCAGACACGCTAGCCACGTTTCTTTCTCACTCTTTCATGCATCAAAAACAGTTATTTAAAACAATTTGTTTTCAAAAGGATCCACTACCACCCTAGGCTCCTTGCATGGCCCCAAATTAACCTCACTTGAACCTGTGAAAGTAACATCTTAACTAAGCATTTTTTGGCATTTAAACCAAACTATATTTAAAACTACTATTTAGGCAATGAACTTGCACAAACGGAAGGCGCCACATTATTCAGAACATAAAAAAACGTACAGATAAATCTTAGGTCTTGCACGTGACGCGCGATGGCATCACTCGTTGGTGTACTCGCCACCACGGTTCGATGAGTAGACGCCACACTCGTCGTCGCCGGAGCCACACGCCGGTCATAAAAAAATGTACATAGGAGATACGGAATATACCTTAATTTACCGTCTAACGATTCCGCTAAAACTAAAAGAATGGCCGTTGTCGCCGTTAACCCTAATGGTGACTGTCGTCTGCCGCCGCTTGTCGCACAGGAAATCACCAGAATCTGCAGAAAAGCCCAGAACGATGTAGAACTCGATTTCAGTCCAAACTTAACCCAAAATTTATAGGAAACACCCCTAAAGAATTTAGAAACTCACCTGCGATGATTTTAGGTTGATTGGAGGTGGAATCCACCTACAGATTTTCTTTGAAGGTTCTCACCAGATTTTGGGAAAGCAAACAGAGTGTATGCATAAGTTATAACACGAAACCTTAGCTCAGAACTTCACCATTTCCTCCCTAAACTAAAACGGAATAAAACCCAGAAGAAGAAGAACCCCAGATGGCTTCAAACTCGACGGTTTTCAAGAGAGTTCGTTGCCGAAGCTGGGAATGCATGCACAGATTATAATTGGGGTTTAAAACCCTCGAATTTGAGCTTGAAACCGACCACAATTCATCACATCTTGTTACCTGGTTTGACAATAGAGCTTGAGGCTCTCGGCTTCACTGAATAAGCACCTCACGGTGTTTCGATGATGCATGCAAGACCATGGTTGTGTTCCTCGAATTCCATAGGTTCAAAATATAGGAGTTTAAGGTTTGGTTTGTTGTAAGATAATGGAAAAATGAAGGCTAAAGCCCTTGGTGCTAAAGAGAGAGTGAGAGTGTTCGAGGGTTGGAGCGAGAGAGTGTCTGCAGAGAGTGAGAAGGAGTGACCGGATTGGGGTTTAATCCCACTTAAATTTCTTCACGTGAAAGAACAATTTTGCCTTTTTTAGAATTCGAATTGTAACTCGATTCTCGTAACTCCGAATTCGATTCCATCTTCCCCCACGTTCTTTTTTAAAACGATACGATATTCATTAAGCAATGAAGAATACGTACAACCTGAGGATAGTGTGTATAATGGGCCTCGATAAAAACCTTGCTGGAGATTTCAACCTGGTCAAAGGGAAAAAAAGCGTTCCGCACAACAATGTGGCCTATCCTTAGCTAAACAATACAGAAACTTACATTCCCTCCTTAACTAAAACATCTTGGAGTAAATCCAGAGGCTCCTCAAACCACATAATATCTTGAGAACTCCCAATACCTATACGAGCAAGGCGATGTGCTACAGAGTTACCTTCCCGTTGTACATGGGTAACCCGCGAATAAGCCATCTCTCTAAGGAAGACTTTAACATGGTTGATTACAAAACCAAAGGATAAGCAATATTCCCTTTGATTCTTTATTGCCTCCAGCACCAAGCTAGAGTCTCCTTCAAAAATAACCCTCCATCTGATATGACAATTATTTTTAACCAATAAAACTGCATTTCGAAGAGCAATCAGCTCTGCATGGAATGCTGATTGTGTTATCTCAATAGGACTTGCAGAAGCTACCAGGAACTCCCCCAAGTGATTGCGAATTACCACCCCAAAACCCGCTCGTAACCCAATTCAACTCCATGCCCCATCAAAGCTGCACTTAACCCATCCAACTTTTAGTTTCTGCCATTGCTGCACCTTTCAGCTAGCCTTCTTGGTAAGCCCCTTATGCCACTTTTGAAACTCACTCAGCAAATCTTCAGCTCTCAGCACCACTTCCTGTGACGGGATCGAAGAGTCATTCCAAACCATGTCAGTCATTTGCTTCCAGATAGCCCAAAGCAACATCAGGCGCAACTCGAACCCCCAATGATGGAATCTACCAAGATAATTGAGAGATCCATTGCACTAAAGACAGCCTGTGGTCCAGCTCCACCCTCAGTCCCAAACTTCAAAACCACACCACCCTGGCCAAGCTACAATCCTGCAAAGCATGTTCCACGAACTCAACTAGCCCACCACAAACCATACACACATCTTCACTCATCACTCGTTGTTGGCAAAGATTCGAGCATGTTGGTAATTCATCTAAGCACGCACGTCAAGCACATTTCTTAACCTTCCCTGGAACACATGTGTCGTATAATTTCTTCCAAAACTTCTCACCCACACTACCAAAAGAGGAAGACGATGCTGCTGCATTTCCTCGCTAGAGACATTAAGGCCCCGTGCTACATGGTAAGCGCTCTGCACCACTTATAATGCCAAATTTGATGATCCTCCACGCTCCTCAAGCTAAGCAGGAAGCTCCGAATTATCTCCACCTCATCCGAAAAGAAGAGCTCACCCAATAATTGAACATTCCATTGCTTTGACTCGTTCCAGATGGTCTCGTTCCAAATGAGACCATCCACTCTAGCATCAATATCCCAATAGGCCATAGAAAGGGTCAAAATCCGAAAGTAATGATCTCTCGGTACCTAATTATCTTGCCATATGCCATATTCCTCTCATACCCTACTTGCCACCGAGAACTTTTCTAAATCACCCCCTATGAAGCAGCAATGCTTCTTCACACATAAGAGCTATTAGCATTAACTCTAGCCTCCAAAAAATCTGTCGTAGGAAAGTATCTAGCCTTGAATACCCAAAAATCAAGCGATTCAGGTTGATGCATGAAGTGCCAAGCTTGCTTTGCTAACAAAGCAAGATTAAAAGCATATAGATCCCTAAACCCAAGGCCTCCCTCACTCTTGGGCATACACAACCATCGCCAGTTAAGCTAATGTATTTTTCATTTGCTTGGATCACTACTCCACCAAATTTAGCAATCATCATATTTAACTCCTTGCAAAAGGACTTCGGAAAAAGGAAGCACTGCATAGAATACATCGCAAAGCTTAGGCAATTATCTCTACCAACAACTCCCGCCTCACACAACTTAGTAATCCTTTCTACCAACTTTGTAGTTTCTTCCAAAGCCTATCTTTCACATACGCAAAAGTTTCATTTCTCGATTTCCTGATTAGGACTAGCAGACCCAAGTATTTATCATGAAACTCTACCCACCTTATTCCAAGACAGTAGGCAAGCAATTGCTTATCAACACTCGTGAGATTAGGGCTAAAGGAGACATAACTCTTTTAGAAATTCACCGTCTGCCCAGAGGCCTCCTCATACGTACGTAACACCTACTTAATTTTCTGACACTCATAAAGGGTACCACGAGCAAATAGAAAGCTATCACCAGCAAAGAATAAATAATGAATACTAGGAGCAGTACGCTAACTTTAATTCCCTGCAATTCCCCTTTAGTTTCAGCCTTCAAGAGCAATGCCGAGAGGCCCTCGGCACAAAGGACGAACAAATAAGGTGAGAGTGGGTCCCTTGTCGAATTCCCCTTTCCGGATGCACATGACCCACCGGATCCCCGTTTAGCTTAAATGAGTAGGTCACCATTGTAAAAAATAACATAATCATATCAATCCATTTCCTCGAGAATCCTACGCGACACATCATGGCCTCAAGAAACCTCTACTCCACCTGATCATACGCCTTACTAATATCCAATTTCAATGCCATGAGACCATTAGACCCAGATGATCTCTTATGCATATAATAAGCAACTTCAACAACAACGAAATAATTATCAGAGATCAGAGACACCCCGGAATAAACGCAATCTGGGTAGGCACAATAATATGAGAGAGAATAGCTTTTAACTTGTTGATAGGAGCATATTTATGCGACTTAATTGGCTTGTTCTCGTGCATTTACGTTGTGTTTCTTTAGTTATTTTAGTCCTTTATGCCATTTTCGTGTGTTTGTAGGTTTATATGGCTAAGGAAGCAAAAAGATGCATTTTGGAGCATTTTGGAGCAAAATTGGGCTTGGAATGGATAGCTTATGCTTGGAGCCAAAGTGTTGGACGAATTTGAAGGCCTTGGGTGCTCTTTGGGACATAAAACAAAGGGCCTAGCCCAATCAAACAATCCTTTGAGCCACACAAAACCTCTAGCCCAATCAACAACCCTTAGCCACATGCATTCACATGCATCACAACCCCAAAACCATCAAGAAACACCCATTGCCGTGCCTTGCACTCCCCCTTGCATTTTCAGCCATTCAACTTCATCATTACACCACCTTCTCCCTCTTTAATCCACATGCATTCACACGCACTTCACACAAACAACATTCACATGCAAACACATGCATTTCCAACACCAAACACAACCATTGCCGTGCCTTCCACACCAATTCCAGCTTTTCTTCATCATTGCAGCCACTTTGCCCTTTTATTTATGCATTAAACCTATTTCCTTTCCCTAAATTGCAGCCACAATCCACACCTTTCCAACCTAGCTGCACCCTACATACATTAATTAGTCATTCTTTTCATATTGCACTCACATGCATTCACATGCATTTCAAGAACCAAAACAACCTTGTGCCGTGCATCCCTTATGCCATTTTCAGATTTCCTCCTTGCAATTCCACATGCATTTCCAACCTAGCAACACCCCTTTAATCATTCCTAGCTGCAATTCACATGTTCTCCCATCCATTCTCTCCCTATAAAAACCACACACACTTCATTCATTTGTCATTCATTCTACATCTCATTTTCATACACAACACAAACACAACAAGCAACCTTGTTGCCGTGCCTTCCCTTATAATCCAAACACCACTCCTCTTCCATTTCCATCACTCCCCATTCCTCTAAAACACTACCCAATCATTCCCCATTCCATTCAACACACCAACAACATCCCTTAGACCTTATGCTACAACGAAGAGGAGGAGAAGAGTGCCTAAACGTTCATACAATTCAAGTTTGAGTTGTTGGAATGTTTAGGTGTTTCTTTTCCTCGATTCCAATGTTTAATTTCAATTCTCTTTGGTTTGTACGTATGAGGAACTAAACCCCCCCTTGGATAGGGGGGGATTCGAAATACATGTTTATGCTTGCAATATGATTTGATTACTTCCAATTGCGTTTCATAAGTTATGGATTCAATTTGTTTAACTATTTGATTGATAACCTATTTATGTATGTCTATTGAGAGTGCACGCTTAATTTTCATGCATGAATATGACGCTAGAATATAAGTAAGTTTCACCTAATAGTTATGAACTTATATTCACAAGTAGTGGAGGTTGCTTATAAACAATCGCGTTAAATAAATTCTTGGCATAAGTTTCATGCAATCATAGTAACAAGTGCTTCGTCAACGCTTATGGTTTTCAAAGAACTTAATGATTCTTGATTGTATCTCTATTATGCAATCATGTAGGGGACTTGTGGGAAATGTTTTGGGTTGTCGTATGCAATCATCCAATTCAATAACGTTAGGAAAATATGAGGGTTACTTAGTGCAATCACGGTTAACCTGGGGCGTTGAGAATTCATGGTTTATTGAAAAGCAATTGGAAATCGTTTTATATGCAAGTGTAACATGTGTGGAGATGAACCCCTTAGCTAGCTTCCCATCCATTCATTTCCGTCAAATTCGTATTTATAATTTGTTTTCTTTACAATCTATCCATTTTAGTTTAAATTCGTCCAAACCTCAATCTCCCCCCCATATTTTGTTTAGTCTTAGTCTTAATCTATCTTATTTTACGTTTTGCATTCTTTGAGTCTAGTATAGTGTTTTAAACTTGTTTTTACGTTTTTGAGTCAAATCCAAGTGATTAACAATCCCTCCTAATCCCCGGTCCAGAACGATCCCTACTTACATACTTACTACAATTGACAAAAAGAGGGTTTAATTTGTGTGCGTATAATTCTCGCATCACTTGTTCATGAGAACCTTTGCCACAATCTTGTATAGGACATTGTGCAAACTAATAGGCCGTAACTGCATCATCTTCGTAGCATCTTTTACCTTGAGGATTAACGTAACATGCGTATAATTAATTTTCTTCAAAAA